TGCTAGAGCAATCATGTCCCTCTTTTCCATCTCACCTAACCTCTTGATTATTTCCTCCTCATTACCCCTTCTGACTAGACCTAACTTCTTCCCCACTTCCCAGAGTTCCTTCACTTTTTCTTCCCATGATCTCATCATAAATCTTCGATTACAATTAATGATGCCACCTGTTGAAATGGCGTTATCTCTTGATGACATTTCTTCTTCCTGCTCTATTTGAAAGGTGACTCCATTGGCTTTATCTAGATGGATTCCTTTGCATCTACCTATAACCTTTGTTGTCATGCTCCTCACCTTTCTATTTTGTGCCCTTTTACCCTTCTTCAACCTTTCTATTTCGTGCCCCTTTACCCTTCTTCAACCTTTCTTCAATTTTTCCTCTAATCTCACCTTGGATAGTTCATCTTCACTTGCTAGGCCTGCCCAGAAATTCCAAGATTCCACTCTGCAATCTTCACTTTGATTTCCTTTAATTGCATCTATCGCTAACCCTGTGTTTCTTGATTGCTCTGTTTTTTCTCGTTGCTTTCCAAAAGGTTCTTTTTTATTAAAATGGCTTATAACCTCCTCTGATTACACATAATTATTGGTGCACTTATCTGGGCTAAACTTAACATTATTTGGCCCACTAGCACTTACTCGTGTGGGCTTACTATGAGTTAAACCAAATGGGCTTACACGGGGCTCATTGTTGCTAGCTCTATCTGCTTCAATCTTTTCTTCATTTTTTGCTTTTTCGTCTCCATTCTCCATTGGGAAGTTAACCTCATTCATAGGTTCCTTAGGCATAGTGGCTAGCATCATCAATGGGCAGTTGTAGGCCACTCCTTCTTTGGTTTCGACAATCAAGTCAGCCACCATTTCTACTTCCCCTTCTGACTGTGATGTGTTTTCAACTACAACGATCATCTTCTTGCCATCTACCGCCGACGAGAAATCGGCCTCCCTATCCAGCATACCTCTTTCCTTTAAGACAAAACTTTCTGCTTGAGTTTCCTGAATATTTTCCTTCAGCTCTTCTAAATCCATACCATCCCATTCTGAACTGCTATGCTCTAACAAACAATCCTCCATCCATGATTCATTGTTAGAATCT